GAGAAGTGGAACTGAGAAAACAGATTGCAGAGCTTTCTGCTTTTACTGTAGGGGATTCTGCAATCTCCCATCTTTAATACAGTTATGCAGGTATCCTACTTAGATCAAGAACTGCTCAGCACCTTCAAACCTCAGTCTCAATTTCTTTAGAAACTGAAAGGTAAGTAGTGTTGTCCCCACTGGGGACAGGCATTTGTTTTTTAAACCCACGTACCAGATGTCACAGCAACTAAAGGCCCAGCAGGTTTGACGCAAGAGTGAACTTCTCATTGTGCAATGCCTCTATAAAGCTTGATTCTACAACACTGAGACTTTGCTCTAATGGAACTGTTTGTTTGACAAAGGCTTAGTCAAACAAGCAGGCCTTATCTGTATATATTTCATATATGTGTATGGCCAAAGCTGTATATGGACTTGTGTGGCTTGGTAAAATGAACTTCTTTAAAACAACTCTGCTAAAATGACACAAACTTCTGTACAATCTTGCACTCAACTTAAAACTTGGATTTTACTGATTTTCCTTAATTAAAGTGTTAATAGAAAGTGATTCACAAAATTAATGGATCCAGAGTAAACCCTTCCTATCAGTTCTTTTGCTAGCTGTAGTGTTCCTAATGCTAGCATGTACACTGATGGGGAAGCAGAGGGAGGAGTCAATAACTTAATTGTTTGAAATGGTAATAATCTCTGTTGTGACTCCACAGAGACATAAAGGCCCATGTGTTTTTTATTTCCATTTACAACAGCAAGTCTCTGCACAGAGCACCTCCCGTGGATTAACAACTAGTTTGGGTCTCTTGGGCAGCCTCTTGTATCCACAATCCTTCCCGCCCAGTTGCTTATCTCCAGCATGTGAATGTGATAAAAGCACACACACGTTCGCTAACTGTTGGAAAGCAGCAAAAATTGGTGGTTTTGTATTTTTTTTCCTAAGCATCGCGATTTCCTGGTTAAGACAATTGATAATACAATTCTAGCATAGAGAAATTTAATGCAGATTCTGTTGGCGTGGCGAGAACCACTGAGAGAAAGGATTTTTATTGGGTTATTTAAATGGGAAAAGCTTCTTGTACTTTAAATTCTGATGAGGGGTGACAAAGAATTCACTGATACCTGGGCTTTGCCAGCACCTTCCTCTACAGCAGAGGAACATGGTGGCTGCAGGAACACAGGCAGAGGCTACAGGAGCAGGACAAGGCACAAATACGCAGTAGCATTTAGAGAGGGAGGATTCATTTTTCTGTAGATCACCTTTATGTCGTCTGTACCCCCCGACTGGCCTTTAGCCCCCATGCGCAATTCTATCTATTGTTTTCCTTTTGGCTGCTTTCTCACCTATTTAATCTTCTAAATACATTTCTTTTTTTTTTCTGGACAGCCTGCACAAACTGTATCATCGCTTTAGACTACTTTAAAGTCTACATGTGTACAATAAGCAAATGAGGAAGTAGTACAGCAATCCAGATTGAGTGGAAAGAAGTTTGGCAGGCTGCTCCTTGCTGGTTACAGAAAACCATAATCCAGGAAAGGTTTGAAGCATTTTCCCGGGCTCTTTCTCCAACTAGTATTCTTGTAAAGAGAAACATTCAAACTACTAGTGAATCTGCAAAGAAATGCTCTATATTTAAACTGGAAACTCACACAGATTTCCATCTTACTATCAATATAAATGTGCCTTAAGAAAGTTAAAATAACTTACCAGAGCTTTCCAGTTTCACCTTCCTGAGTATTCTTTCACAAATTCTACCGTAGAGACACCAGACCTGCATAATTTTCCGCAGTGGCATTAATAACCATCACTAGGTGCTAGGCCTTTGCAGGTTTTATCCAAAGAAACACTGTCTGCCATGAGCTTTGGCTGAGATCCATCACATGGACACCTTCTTGACATTTCTGTTCAAAACTTGGCAAAAAATGAAAACATCATCGATAAAAGGAATAATCCTAAGATGATCATGGTCAGGCCCTGGAATAGAAGGCAATCAAAATACTTTGCAGGATCATGGCCCCAAACATCTTTCATCCCTTTATACCCATGATCCATATATGCTTACTGTACACAAATGAGAGAAATGTTCCCACAACCACAGCAGTATGTTACAGCATGTGGTACTGTCAGCTGCAGCTAGGTCTGCAGGACTTTTGTGTGTGTTGGCCCAATTTCTCGAATGAAAAAGATGCTGCTTAATCCAGCCATTCCTCAAACCAGCACAGAGATAGGAAGAAACCAGTGCTGAGGTACCCTTCGAGGCCATAATATTAAAATCCAAAATACTACCTTGATGTTTTTTCATTTCAGTATATTACGAGTCAAGAAATAAAGAGAAAGGAACAGTTTGCGTCTGTTAAGACTTCTATCTGCTTCTGTTTCCCATTGTTTCTGCTCTCAAATACATTAACTAACTGGCATATCTAGATTGCTCACTAAGCTGCTGTCATTGTGAGGGGCATCCTGCATTTATGCAATTCTCAGCAACAGCTAACAAACTGGCAAGGCTATGATTTACAGAAAACTAGACAGGTGTGCAGCTAAGTCCAAGATGATGCAAATTTGCATAATTTTCCATACCTTGGAAAAAAGACAACACACACTGAAGGAGGTTACACAGCTTCCCTCTATTAAAATGAACTATTCCTGTGTGCCTTTTCAAAAGCTCCATGACGATAAAAAGTGTTACCCGTATTTTCTCTACCACTTTAACCTTTTTGCTGCAATACCCACTTCATCTTTCACTGATGCTCTTTTATTATTAAAAAACTCAGAAATTGAAAAAAACCCACCAAAATTAATACCTAAGGAAAAAAATACTCTATTTTCCCAAGTGCAGAGCCCTCTAAAACATACTTCTCTTCCTTCTTGTTTTAAAATGTTTCAGCTGGCTAATCACTTTCTTCTTTTACTGCCATTAACAGACATTACAGCAGCCATAAACAGCCCAGTATAACAGATACTCCTACAATATTAACAGTATAGTGAACTTTGCCAACTTAAGCCAATTTTAAGTAGCATTAATGACAACAGAAATTGGTTAACATGCATAATACCTTACAGATTCATTGTTCTCACTCAGGTGCCAGAGCTCCGAGAGGCAGTGCTCTATACTTGCAGGCTACTGCACGTCTCTCATCCCCTTCAATAACTCTTGAACTGATGGACTACTTTTGACAAGGAACTCCAAAAGGAAAATCACATTTCTGCCAAGTTTTGTGAACAACAGTAAGGAACCACTAAGACAGAAAGAGCATGTCTATGAGCCTCCTGATGGAAGGAAAGGCATGCCTTGCATATTATTAGACATCAGAGAAATCCTACAAAGGAGCAAAAGACAACACAAAAGTATCAGTATCTAGAAAAAAAATAATTGCAAGTTTTCAAGACATGAATCTGCAAAAAGGTGGTTTTGCCAGTTCTGGTGCTCTCAGAACTACTTGTTTACTTGACAGAGGACAACTCACAAAACCACCAAGCGTAGCTGCACAATAATGGTATACTTCAAACTGGCAATTGTGGGTTTGCATTGAAGAAGAGGGTCAGCAGCTCTCCAAAGCAAGGCACACATCTTGAGGAATGCTGAATGATACAGGGTGCTGTAATTTAACAATTTTTTAGACTTAAACTTTCAAGCAAAGCAGCTGCAAGGAGAAATCCTAATTTGTTTGGAATGGGGTTAAATCAGAGCCAAATTTTATTTGTGTTTACAAGTCAATGCTTTCCAGCTTCACTGAGTTTTATCTGATTTGGCACTGCATGCAAAGAATCCATAATGGGTAGTGGTGTATGAGATGTGGTAGAAACAGATTTTCCTGCTCCAGCAAATATATCCATATGTCTGTTTATGTGTCTGTTGATAGTCAGCAAAAAAAGCCACTTGGTGTGATTCACCATTATGTTCACTGCTCCCTTCAGCTCTCCTTGGAACTGGAAAGCTTTTATTTACCTATTATGAAGCTTTATGGTCATCTGCGACAGCGCACTTCAGGGAAGCCTATTCTGCATGCATATTTTTTTCAGATTAATTCTTATCTCCTTGCTGGCACCTGTTTGACCTATTAATGCTGGCATGATCTCATTAAGAGACATTAAAACCACAGCCGCCTCCTTACCCTTACACACAGAAATAATTGAATTTAGATTCCCCAAACCACAAAGTAGTGTGTGGTCTCCTGGAAAGCAAGCGATCTTAAGCAGCAAAGAATCTGACCTCACTCAGATGTACTGTTTAGGACTCACGCACAGAGCATGCGCATAAAAGCAATCTAGCGAAGCAGGCAGCACACTCAGCTATGTAAGACTCCCAGCCAAGTGCCAGGAACCTCTCTGCTCAGCTTCCAGCACAGCCTCTGACTCTCTGGGTGGCTTTGAGCCCTACTCTACAAACTACTACCCAGCACAGCATTTCCTACTGGGAGCAGCGCTACTGACTCCAGCAGCACCACTCAAAGCCACGACCTCGTAATTCAAATAAAGCTACCTACACATGCAGAAACTGGCAACCAGTAGTGAGAAGCTGGGTAAAAGGATCTCTCATGAACCTGACACATCATTCTGGAAGGTTTATCATGGTATCACAGTAAACTGACATACATTAACAAGTAAGATATACAAATACACGGGCTTATTTCCTACAGAAGTCTATGGAAGTTCTGCAATGACCTCACTAATAAGAGTTTTGGTCAACAGTGAATAATTTTGGAATGCGCTATCAGCCATTAGGAGAATAGCTGCATTCTGCACCCATCTGGGAATACAATGAAGTGATGGGCACAGGTTCCTGCTACATGGCCCTCAATGGGCCCCTCTTAGCAGCTGCAGAGCCAGATCAGTCCAAGTCACTGCATTTCACTGCAAAGTTACACATTAGCTTAATGGCACCGAAGCAAAAGCATTAACAGTGTATCCCAATGAGAGACACTGCACATGTGCATATTTTACACGGCAACACACAGAAAATTAATGTGATGAAAAACAAATCACAGGAGAGCAAAATTTAAAAAATGTCCTAAAATGTGCATTTTATTCCATATCATTATACAATGTTTACATACAGGTATACTTTTAAAACTGCTCAAATAAAGTGTGAAAAAAGTGAGGCGAATATCGGTTTGTAAATTCCTCCCCCTCCCCAAAATCCAGACAAATAAAATATATTTGCAAACAATCTCTTCTGAATTTATGTTTTCTCCTGAATTTATTGAATCTTTCATTTTAACATGAAAAATACAATTGAATGAATACTCCAGGTGAAATGCTGACCTACACTTCTGTATTGAGTTGCAAGAACACAATTTAAAACCTCCAGAAGCCTTCTCTTTTCTCTGTTGCTTACCTACCTTTGTTTATTGAATTAGAAGGCACAGAAAGTCCAAATCGTCACAGATCAATTAAATTCTGATAAAAACAAATGACTGTGCTGGACAACTCCTGACTTGTCTGACATCAAATAGAAGACTTAAACAGACCCTTTTGTTGAAAATAGCACCATTTCCACCTGACCTCTCTTGAACACAAATCATTTCTCTTCTTAAAAATTGTAGTTGGCACTTGAGGTGGGATGCTTTCTGCCACAGCCAGGATTCCTCAACAGCCTAAGCATACTGAATTGCTGAACTCTCTACAAAGTGTAGGTAACATTTTTATTGGGAAATGGCACATTTAAACCATAATGTAATACAGCTTAACCCGCATATGGCTTGCCCATTTTGGTGTTTCCCTGACCCCTGCCTGATACGTTCCTGTGACTGTGGTGAAACTAAAATAAAGACATGTTTATGGGGTTTCACAGCAAGCAGGTGTAAAAATAATAAAACAAATAATGTGGTTGATGCTAAGAAGGTTTTCACATGTTGTTTAACTCCAGTAAAGTTTGATCCAGCATCTGATGCATACTAAGGTTTTCTTCTTTGGCATGCGCCACTTTCTCTGTTGTGGGATTACAAAATTAAAACATGAATAGCAATTCTTTGGAGGCACCGATTCTCAGAACACGAAGGCATGCAATCGTAATTTCTACTGGAGGGTTTAAAAGTTAAGAAGTGTGCATGCTCATAAATACTCATGTCCCCAGACAACACAACTAGAGAGGATTCCAAATTAATAAAACAAACGACAAATAATGCAAGATTACAACTGTTTACAGCTGCATTTATTAAGAAAATGCACTGCCAACAGAGATGCAATTCTTGCATGTTCGGGAAGCTCTTTGCTTACAGGAATGTGGGATGGCGAATTATTACTTATTTTTTAAGTAGGGCAACAAAGAAAATAAGTATTTGCAGATCCACACTTAAAAGTTTCACGTAATTCAGAACTTGCAAAAAGAAAAAAAAATAAAACTAATCTCTTCTTCAGTGAAGTGACCTTTAAGAAATTTATATCTTCTAGAAAATAAGAGATTTAAGTTAGTAGCTTTATGTTGCATGCACACTTTCATAGGACAGTCATTTAACACACTTATTTGATACAATAAATGAGCACAATGTTCTACAGCTGCATTCTACCAAAATCCAGTGATAGTGACTTCATACTAATGCAAGCGTGCCTTTAAACTGACCGGGTATTTTCAGATGGAGCTCCCATTCCTAGGTGTTTGGTTTGGGGTTTTTTGTGTTTGTTTGGGATTTTTTCGTTTTAGTTTGGGGGTTTTTTTGTTTGTTTTTGTTTTGAAGTCCAATGCAAGTCAAATTCATAGTAATTCAAAATTATTGCATTAAAGCCTCTAGATAACAAAACAGCTTAAGTATCCTTTGTGTTGGGTTTGAAATACAGAAATACAAATCCTGGTGAACATTTTTCTTTTGTTCCCATTCTAGTAAAACTCTCAGGGTCAGTTCACGATGTAGGGAGACGCTCAATTTACCTGACAAGACAGGCTGTTATTTTATGGATACCGTTAGCTAAATGCTGTAGCCGTTTACAGAAGTGGAAAGAAGCTATTGCAAGGCCAGAGAGCTTACTGCTCCTTCAAATTAGGTGTGCAATACAGAAAATAAAAAGCCTCATCCATTAATTTAACAGAGAACAACAGCCTGAAAAAAAATCAATTTCCAGGTTTCTTGCTTATTTCTACATTTAGTGATTCACTCTTAAGGAAATTTGGAAGAAGCCATTTTTAAACGAGTTAACAATATAGTCACACTAAAGTTTAATCCTCATTCAATGCCAGCTTTAGTTCATTAGTTAGGCGACTGTTTTGCTCAAGTTGCTGGTAGAGGTGGTCTGTACAGGCAGCAAGCAGGTTAGAAGGGAAAAAAAGAGGCAGAATGAAGACAGATTAGACAGAGAAAACAGTTAAGTAAGAGTTAATAAAGAAACTGGTCACACCACAGACAGCTCAGTAACACACAGAGAAACATTTTACCTTTGTTTCTATAACTCTTCTTTAACTCTAAACTAAATAGCTACTCCAAGGAACAGCTATTATAACCTATGACGAACTGGCTAGGACTCCTGTTGTGGGGAACAGCTGTGAGACAGGTAAGTGGGAACAGAAATGGAAGAACTGCAGCTACGTTCCTGGAAGAGCCAAGTCCTGCTTTAATCTTTACATACAGCGTGTGGAAGATTTGTTTTACGAGTGCCATTTTTCTTTATAAACTATTTAAGCTGTGGTGGAACTTCATCTGCCAGTGAAGGGAAAGCAACTGCGTCACAACCAGGGTAAGTAACAGCAGTAGAGATGCTGACAGCCAACTACCACCGAGTCTGACTCAGCCATTACTCCTTTCCTGGGAAATGTGACAGCTGAAATGGTATTTTTCATAGGGAAACATACTTCTGTTCCTGGGATCAACACACTTCAAGACCTTTAAATTATCCAGTTGTACTTCATAAGAAAACAAACTCATTTGGTGAAACCAAAATGGAAGCATGAAAACCCATGTTGCTCAAATACAGCAAATGGAGAGGATGGTTCACGCTCATGGTCAAAGAGAATAGCCACAGCTATGCTGTGACAGTGCATCTAGTGAGAGTTGTTCTGCAGAGTGAAAGAACATTCCATGATGGCTTCTGACTGTCTTGTTTTCTCAAATTGTCCATATTCTTCTCAATAGTCTAGATTCAAACTTCACTCCTGACCTCTTGATCCCAGATTATTCTCCTGGAGGAAATGACTGCTTCTGATTTTTTTTGCACAAGCTTCCTAACAGCTTCCACAGAAATCCCCTTCAGGCTCTGGACACAGCAATGGCAATAAGCTGGTCTGTAAGGACATACCCATGCGGTGAGCAGCAACTGCTCACAGCTTCCTCCCCAGCCCAAACTCCAACAGGTAGCTCAGTAAAACCAGGACACATTTCAGAGCTCTGATCCTGGACCAGTAACAACAACTGGGTCTTATCTCTCTTATTAGGATAATGCCACATATACGTGGAAAAAACATGGAAACAACATGGAAACCTCAGAGTAACTAAAATTTCACTTTGTTTAGCAAACTGTGTTTAGTTGTTATTCAAACATGACAACATAATTTGAACTAAGAACTTGATGCTTACCTTCATCATGGAAAACTCCTCTCTAATTGAGGCAGAGATACAGTATTTCTCAATTAGTCTCAAAATGAGACTAAAATACCCGGGTAAAGCATGGAAAGCATTTACCAAGTATACAGTCAGTCCTTGATAATCCACAGGCAGCCTGTCTAGGCTGCAATTTACCACAGAGGTAGAGCCAAGGGCTGGCTCTGTAGCCAGCCGCCTTAGGCCAAGCACGGAGTTCAAGCTCTAGTGCAGACTCAAGTGAGGCTCAGCCTCAGCCCAGCAGAAAGCCCAGGCAAATGAGACATCGGAGCCAGCTGTGCTGCAGAGAGAAACCACAATGGTTCTGTGGAGTCAAGATCAGTGCAGAGGGCCAGCTAGGAATTCTGTATGCAGCTACCTGGGTATCTGCATCGCATTGCCCACTTAAGTCCATTGCTCTGCCCAGCAATTCATCATCCTAATTCATCATCCTATGGTGCAGAGAGCTGATTATGTGTGTTTGAAGGAAAAGGGAAGATTCAAATACTGATGTTCAGAATTACCGTCTTAAAAATTACCAGGTTCCTACACTGGATTTAGCACTTTTTTTTACTTAACAAAACCCAGTATTGTAAAGAATTGAGGGGTAAAAACCCACTGCTGACACAATAACCCAAAACACAATAGATTTAAGGGGCTGGAGCTGCTGTAGCATAAGCTACTCTGGCTCAGCTGACAAGTGACAGCAAACCACATTCCCCTTAACTGTTGCATTTGTGAAGTTAACCACGTTAGCTTCAGCCATTTCACAAATACTCATCCCATATTTGGTTAACCTTCACACTAAACATTTCACTTTTCAGTTGCAATAGACACAGTGCATAAACCCACTTACTAAATCTCAATTGTCAAGTACTAAGTTATTGAACTATATTATCTGGGCTACCTGTGACTGCTGATACATGTCCTGTAATTGGGTTTCTCCCCATAGCCAGTAACATTAGTACATGTGTCATGAGATAAAAAAACTGGGCTGAGATGATGGCAGGGGGAAAGACGATGAATCCATTTGCAAGTGTTATTTGAAAAACAGGTTTGGTGGAGGGGAAGAAATCTAGCCTAGACTGCAGTGCTGAATAATCTTGAAGTTGAACAAGAAAGCCACATTTACATTATTCTGCAAGCTAAAAAGTAAGCCTCAGCTACACTATGATAAGCTTATGTAGCTGAGGTAAATTTGGATCTTTAGCAATATATACAGTGGCAGGCATAATCAGAAATCAATCCAGTTTAAACTGATACACTTTAATGTGAACTGGAAAATAACTTCTTTTGTTACAAAGAACATTAAGTTAAAATAATGCAACACATTCTCTAGTTGGAAAGAACAAAAAACCAAGGTGCCAGTATTTAATGCTTCGTCCTTAATTTGGCGCTGTCAAATCAGCTGAAAACCAATGTTTAGGTTTTCAGACTTGAAATGTCTATGTTCCACTTCACAGCAGAATCATTTCATTATTAGTGTAATGATGAGCTTTCCTACTACAGTTCTGAAACTTTTCTTACAAGTCTGCAATTCAAACTCACAAGTCTGAGCCAGGCATGAGAGTGGAAAGCTACGGAAATCTCCCTGTTGAACTTCCAATCCTATCATGCTACTCAAAAGAAGTATATTTAAAAAAAAAATAAAAAGCTAGCAAGCAACATCTCTGCTGAGTAACCGAGGTGTGAAAGAGGGAAAAACTTTTTTCAAGATATCTAAATGACTATTTTTGTATGAAAAAAAGAATTTAAAGTTCTTGACATTGTCCCTTTAAATCTATCTCAAATATTTTATGTTAATGGCAAACACATTTATATAAAGACAGGAAGTGTTCAGCATCAAGCTAGGAGAAAATTTCAGACTTTAAAGTGAAAAATTTGGTGTCAAGGACTTAAGTGCTCTCTCAGCCATGCTCCCACGACCAAGTGACCCTGAGGAAGTAGTGTGCTTGCAAATGCTGGCCTAACAATAACAACTGAAAAAATTCCCATTACATCTGTTTGTCACTTTATCTGCATCAGATTTTGAGAAAGACTAAGATCGTAACTGGTCAGATTTGACCTCAAAATACCAAGAGTAGTATTCTCATCCCATAGACTGCGATCACTGGCTTTGCATTGTCAACGTTCAGGCAAAAGTGTTTGCAGAAAGAAATAGAAACAGCAAAAAAAAAAATCCCTAATGGCAAAACCCCCATTTTTATTAATAACCAAAATAGTTATGTAAATAAATAAAAGGCAAGGGAATAGCAAAAGGGATACAGCTGGGATGTTTTATTTTACATTGAAAGATAGATGTAGTTTCTGTACAGCAGAGCACAAACAGAGCATGTTCTGAGACAGATGCTAGAGGAATAGAGTCAACTAAGCTAGAAGACAGGACAATGAACCCACGAAACATCCAAAGCTTGGAGAGATGTTTTATCCAACCTGAAGAAGGTATCTTTGGAGAAGTGAAGCAAAGAAAATTATCTGCATGAAAAGAAAAAGTGAGATAAGGTAGGAAATAAAAAGGTGCAGTAAAGACTTCCAAAAAAGCAGCAACAGCACAGCAGAGCCCAGCATGCCAAGATGACTAATAGAGAAACACCAGAGCAGTAATATCCTCATGTACCAGAATACATTTTAAAGTCATTTTCCATTTAGAAATATCCCAAATAGAAGAAATACTGTAATCTCTGTACATAGAGGAAGAAAAAATATATCTATTTGCTTGATAAGCCACTAAGCAAAAGCATATGTGGGGGGTGCTGGTGAGAATTAAAAAGAAGGGAAAAAAGAAAATCAAAGCAGACCACATTAGACCCCTACTAAAAAGCTGGGAGAGAGAGAGGGAAGCAATGAACAGATATAGGGATGAAAAAAGCAAAGAAAAAACGTTTCATATGGGTGCATGCAAAACACGTTTCAAGCTCTGAGAAAAGCTTATGCTTGCTAAAAGCATGCTAGCTTCCAAAAACCAATGTTGGGACTAAACATCACACCTCACAAGCACTTGAGGGCCACAACTCTTCCTCTTTCCCATGTCACCTGCACAGGGTTCATGCAAGTGAAAAGTATGAGCATGGGAAAGTGGATTTAGCACAGCTGACCTCCGTTCAGAGTTTAGGTTGATGGACCAAGAGTCAGTTTGTATCAAACACTGCACAGACCAGTCACACCTTACAACTGATCACTCTCCTGCTTTCCTGCTGCCTAATACACTCCTCATTTTTCTCATTATGACTGAAGTTGACATTACCACATTTTTGGTACATGCAAATTAAATTACCACTACCCTCCACAAAATATGCGGAAGCAACCTACAATTCAATTGTCACTTTTATGAGTTTAAATAACAAAGTCTTTTAAATAAGTTTCCTCACTTCTAATTTAGTGGTAACAGCTGAAATCTTCAGAGCAGTTAAGGAAATTTAGATAAATTCTTTCCACTGTCATTAATAGAGAATACAGCTAAATCTCAGTTTCTTGGAAACTTTTGTAGGAGCTTTGCCAGAGAAAAACTGTGGCAGTAGAAGAATATGCTCTCAATGCAACACGTACTGAGGCAATTTTCTTCAGTAAAGTGAACATGATGGGGCTGGTAGACAATGTTTGAACAGAGGTGAACTGAAAGGATGAACGCAGAGCTACAAAGGGCAACCAAAAGACACAAGGATTGCAGATACAGAATGAGAGAGTAAACATGAGCTTATTAGGTAGCTTACAAAATCACCATGAGTATTTACCAGGCTAGGCACAACACTCACCCACACTCTGCCATGGTAAATAAATTGTTCATGGTATTTTGTACACCTAGTCTCACTAAAGGAATGCGTCTCCCACTACAGAGGGAGTATAATTTCACAAGGCCGAAACCATGCAATCAATGAGGGCAGGGAAGCAGGAGCAGGCACAAGCTGGGAAGACATTTACATGGAAGTCATATCGTTGAGAGCGTGGTCCAGCTCCTCACTGATGGCTTTGTACTTCAGTTTCTGAGCATATAGCTCATCTAACATTCCCCCAAGGGAAGGCAGAGGTGTGCAAGGAAATGGGAGTGTGATCATGGGATGGAAGGTGAAGGTGGTGGCATGGGATACCATCCAGAAGCCGCAGGAAAGGGGAAGAGCGCATAGAAACAGGTGTTGCAACAGACAAAACAAAACAAAAATTACAAAATTAGAGGTGGTTAAAAAGAAAACAGCAGTGAGTAGTTTTATGCAACAAGTTCATTAACTGCACTGCCAGTGTGGCAACCTGTGATATAAAGAAAATAAAGGAAAGAAAGTGTACAAGGAAAGTAAAATCCATGTTTCGCTGCACTAGATTTTTGTTTAAACAAACACATTAGGAGGGCACACAGGAGCTAGGGAGAAAAGGCTGAAAAACGAGGCTCAAGGAGGATGTTACCATTTATTTTCTACCACTTTTTTTTTTTTTAATCACTCTGGTCTGTGTGATGTCATAAACCCAGTTTCTTACAGCTATTTTTATTCCTTCTAAACACTTATCTTTCTTCTCCTCTGCTTCCTTCCTCAGCCAGTGACCATAAATTTTCAGCAGTTACCTAGATATTTCATATTCTTTATGCAGAAGTCGGACTGCCACGCCAAGCAATCAAGCTTCTTAAAATCCTAGAATTAGTGTAATGTGTCTAAATAGTAGACTCCATATAACTTTTAATTACAAAGTGCTACTGAATTGGTTTCTCCAGAGGGAGAAAGCACATTTTACTATTCTACAGCAGCTCCAAAAGACTTATCAAAACCTTAAAACAAACTCTCTGAAGTTAAATAAGCTGTCCTTCTTATTATGTATACAGTCCAACAGCTTTACTGAAAAATAGCAACTGGTCTATATCACTAAATGCCTGTGACCCAAACTTATCGCAGTAATAACTTGTTAGCTTGCTACATTCCTAATTATTACAAACATAGCACAGCTCTTCATCAGCTTTTTAGTAAGATAATAATAGTACTTATCTAACCATTTACCCTATACATTTATTCACCTCCAAGTAGAAGAGTACAAAAAGCAAAAAATGAAATGAGTCTTGAGAACAGAAGAGAAAAAGGAACAGGCAAGAGCAAAACACTGTTCAACTGAAGCATTTAAGTTATCAATAAATTTCAATTGGAAAACATTTTGCCTATTTGACTCTTTAGGCAGACCCATTTATACGAGCAGGACAAGTTAGGTGAGTAGAACTGGGTACTGGAAAAAAAAAACCAAACAACAGGAGAATAAAAGATCTGTATTTCTACAAGTGAGAAAAACAAAACCTCATACCTTCTAGGTCATCAATGCTCTTCTCCAGCTTGGTTACTGACCTCTCAGCAAACTCAGCACGGGTCTCAGCCTGAAGTTGAGACAGATACAGACTACATTAGGAAACATGCACACGTAGGTCCTTACGAATAGAGGAGAAACAATTCAAATGAGGAAAAAGTACAATAAGAAGAGGCAAATAATAAGGCAATACTAATTTTTAGAAGAGACATTTAACACTATGTTGTCTCCACACAATGTGTTCATCCTTGGAGCATCAAAGTGGTGTTTACACTAAAAGAATAAAAGTTGCATTGGAAGATCTGTTGTAAAAAACAGCTCTGATTTTACCTCCTTCAGTTTGTCAGTCAGGACTTTAATCTCCTCTTCATATTTGTCTTCTTTCTGCGAGTACTGTAATTATAAAGAGGATTGCTGATATTAGACCAGCAAACGTAAATAAACCAAAAAATACCACATTTAAGACTCTATTCTGATAGATCAAGTGTATACAAGGCATTAATTAATATAACTAAATTAATTCCACTTAACAGACTGTGGTAATACACAGTTTATGACAAGAGCCAAACTTCCCTCGAGTTATATTCCAATGCCATATAGTGGGAACTTTGAGTAGAAATTAGTACTACAGTTTTACAGAGAGGAGCGGCATTTGAAGAAATTTTATGTCAGCACACAAGTGCCATTCTGAGGGACATTCTATAAATAATATTTAATCCTGTGAAACTACTTAACAGAAGGTGTGGTCAAATAATACTGACCTATTTAGAACTAGAAGGAATGCTAGGTTCTGATAAGAACCAAATACAAATTGAGTAGTAAGTCCAAATGTTTCTACTGACAAGGGCCTCACTGAAATCAGTGATCAGCATATAACGAAAACCCGAAAGGCCAATCCAGATGACAACGCAAGGGACACATTCTCAGATAAGTCTCTAGCCTACCTTCTCAGCCTGAGCCTCCAGCGACTTCAGGTTGTTGGTCACAGTTTTCAACTCCTCTTCAAGCTCAGCACATTTGCTGTTATTCCGGAAGGAAGGCAGGAAAGGGGTGGATGGAAGATTCAGTCAAGCAAAAGAGACAGGAGAAAATAGGGGGAAAAGATAGAGAAAAATGAAAACAATTACAGAGCAAAAGAACGGCCTCAAAAGCAGCTGAATCCATCACAGACTGAAAGCAGTTCTTTATGATGCCAAATTCTATTTCAAGTGTACATTAAGACGATGACCATACAGAAATAAATTATCTACAGCCCTTGGCTTACACAGAAATATTTACATACACTTTTACATATTTACACTTTACATGTGAGACAGTTCAGCTTCTTTTTGGCTGCATAAGAGATAAGTTTTAAAGGTAAAAATGAATAAATAAACAAAAGAGATCAAAGAAAACCACCAAAGCAAAGATGCAAAGAGAGTAAAGAGCATAGCAAGGACTTGTTACTACTGAGTAAGCTAACTGACTATGGAAGCTGAAAGTCTTGGGTTGCAGTTAAACCTAAAAACTGTTTATTAGTATCAGTACCTTATCCTCTGCAGCCATTAATGCTTTCAAGGTTTGATCCATTATTCTTAACTGTTCTTCCAGCTGTCGGACTTGGCTGTTAGTGAACACATGAAATGCACAAAAGCCATTCACAAAATCAGTGTGCAGGTACAGCATGCAGTGACAAAACACACGCTCACACACAAATGAACACATTTACTTTGGCGTTGACTGCTTATTTCAACCATGAGAGTAAATGAGCAAAACATAGCTTTGAGCTGAACACACAGTGTACTGCCAATGTTTCATGCTGTTACAGTTGTCCTGTAGCACCTCACGTTATCTCGGAGCAGTTCAGCACTTACCTTTCTGATAGTTCTGCACGTTCCTCGGCCCGCTCCAGGTCACTCTCAATGATCACAAGCTTACGAGCCACCTACCAGAAAAGGCAAATGCAATCAGGGATATTGTGCTGTTGCAGCTCACATCACCTTGGTCTAGAACCTACAAAGGAGGGAGTTAGGTCTAATTCCACTATTTGGTCAACTTGTGGGTTTTGATTATGTAACATCTTCATCGTTCATTTGAGTCTTTGTTCTCTCATTCTGCAAGACCTTTCATTCACCAAAAGGCAACCTAAAAATGTTTCTCTTGAGACCAGGGAATGCTCTTGTCCTGGTTTTCCTGGGATAGAGTTATTTTTCTCATAATAGCTAGTGAGAATTTTGGTTTGGATTTGTGCTTGGAATAATATTGATAAGCTGCCAGTATTTACACTCTCAATGAGTGTTTTACAGTCTTTCACCTGCACTGTGGTTATTGTTTCTTTCGTTTTTTTTTTTTCTCCCTTGTCTGCATAGGAGGATGGGGAAAAAGTGAAAGCCTGGGATTTTCTGCGACAGGTGACTCCAGACGGATGATCTGGGTGTGATCCAAGTGGACCAATAAAAAAGGATTCTATCCCATCAATGTCACACTCACTATAAACTGGGGAGTTTTGCAGGGAATGACCCCTTCTTCCTTTTCCTCTGTTTTTCCTTCTCTTCCCTTCTACTCTGCAGTGGTGGCCCATCTCGGTTCCTGAGGCTCACCCCTCCCTTGTTGCATTTTCATTGGCGTACAGCCAGCGACTGCTGTTTGTGAGCTGAGTATAACTTTGATTGCTTTATTATCATTGTTCCTATTCTTGTGACAATTCATTAGTATTATTTCAGTTTGGTTTATTTCTATTATTAAATAGTTTTTATCTCAACCAGACAAGTTCTTCCACTTCTACTCTCCGAATTCTCTTCCCTATCCCATGGTGGGGCTGAAGGGAAACTACCAAGAGCTGAGCGTTGTTTAGCTGCTTGTCAGGTTAAACCACGACAGCTCTCAACCATTTTAGTACAAAGATCTGAGCACAGATCTCCTGGCCTCTTGTCCCCTGAGGTATCCAGGTACTCGTTTTAGTTTCCACTGCTGCGAAGAGTGGTGTTTGTGATCTTTCAAACTTAAAAGGCAAAGAGGGGTGGGGAGGGGAAGAATTACAGGCACAGCCTAAAAGGCTTTAGAAAGAGATGACCTGCACTCAAGAACTGACCTCTTCATACTTGCGGTCAGCCTCTTCAGCAATGTGCTTAGCTTCTTTAAGCTGGATCTCTTGGATTTCCATCTTCTCTTCATCTTTCTGGGCTCTATTCTCAATGACCTTCATTCCTCTGAAAGATGTGAAAAACAGGAAATGCAAAATTAAGGGCTTGCCAGTTTATCTCCAGCATTACTACTACTGCTGGAGTGCAGCTTTCAGACAGATGTATTAAGGTGAATGAAGTACATCAGATACTTGATTCTTCACACCACAGATCTAGTCCTGTGCATTCATATTTCAGAAGTTCAAAGGAAAGAAGAGTGTCTTGGGAAGAAATACAATTTGTTTAGCTCATACCACAGTTATGAAGGAAAGATCTTACAGAAAGCTAAACAAAAGGTCTTGCTTCCAAAGACCTAATAATATGACTAGACATCTATGCTTTTATACTCATTGTGAAAGTGCATGCTACAACCCCTGCAAGACTGACAGTTGTATTTATGGGCCAAACAGATTGCCATGAGTTTTGCCATGTCACAGCCCTAGAGCACTGAAGCTCTCTGTGCTCTGCATAAGCAAAATTTAACTCCTTCATAAACAGGAAACATTGAGTATTGCCCTTTCCATGCACGTTTGACCCAAATTCTCTTAACTATTTCACAATGCACTGAGAGTCTCCGGTGCTTTTCAATAGGCTGCACTGTTAGTGAGGTAGAAATCCATTTGCAGAATATGTAGGATCCTTTTCTGATAAAAGGTACTATCACAGATATAAAACAAAATCTGTAAAAATAAAAAAGAAGATCTTCCAAGGCCAAAAATCTTGAGTTCCTAACTTACATTAAGTAGTTCTAGAAATCCCAGCCTACATATGAAGCAATTATTATGCTCTCTCTTCTTTTCTCACCTTCATGTACCAATCTCACCAACAGGAGAATCAAAGCAGCTTCCAGCACTTTGCTATTCTCCTGGTGAAATTTTCTACCCACAAAGAAATCAAGAATCCACCTCGGAGCACAACAGTACACATCACCCTCATAAAGTTGTCATCCAAACAGAGAAGCCTGGGCTGGGCCAAGCAGCTTTCCCAGGATGCAGCATGATACATCAAAAGCCCTACCTCACTTAAATCTTATCTTTATAACAGACAAGAAAAAGAATTGAAGTCTACGCATTTTGGACATCGCTACAGAGAAGCTGTAACTGAAGTCCATACAGGCAAACAAAAAGTGGATTACACACGCTCAGAGACGCAGAAGTGGTTTAATTTATTTCCCCAGCCCACGCCCTGGCAATTATCATCTTTGTCATAAGGGTAAGGATCCATTCAAGAGTAACCCCACCCACCTTTCACTCTCATCTGCAGCCTTCTCAGCCTCCTCCAGCTTCTGCAGGGCAGTAGCCAAGCGCTCCTGAGCCCGATCCAACTCTTCCTCAACCAGCTGGATGCGTCTGTTCAGAGAAGCTACTTCGCTCTCAGCCTATGCACAGGAAGAACAGCAGTGAGTTCATAATAAGGCACACTTCACCTCTTGTAAAAGATTATCCCACATACCTGCTAGTGCCATTTAACACCACTTCATCAATTTCTGACTTCATACACTAAACAGCTTGTACAGAGATGTACAATGATTTGTGAATTTATTGCTTAATGGAGGAAAAAGTGATTAATGCTTCCTTTAAATGAATCACATTAAGGGCTGTAAAATTTGCACTAGAAAGAACCACACTGAAGAATTATGCATCATTCCCCAAATATTTTCTGTTACTGTGTTTGCAGACATTAACCAGTTCGAGTCTCCCCTCCCCACTCTTTTTTTTTTTTTTTAATCAAATCAACACAAACTAATTATCCTATTCTTCTACGTTATGCCAAATCCTTTCTTTCTGGCCTTTTGTCATATTTTGATAAGAGTTGTCCCAGTATTTCTTTGACTTCCATAAGAAGTGTTCAGTGTAAACATGCAAAAATACACCTAGATCAGCATTTGCAATGAGACAGCTGACACAGAGAGAACATGAGAACATTTAAGAAATACCCAAATACCCACAGGTTTTGTTTACAGGCAAGCTATGCAAGAGGTGACAAAGAAGGCAGCAGCAGATGCTACATCTTGGAAGGACCCTGGTACAGGCAACAATCACTTAAAGCATCTATTTCTTTTCCCCTCCCCCATGCTGCCACCCTCAGACTTGCCCCAGATTTGCCTCTCTTGCATTACCTTAGAGATCCACATTAACCCAAATATAAAATCTTTAAGCTATGTAACCAAGCAGTAGCACTCCAAATCTGTATTTTCATCCTTCTGGCTTTAAACAGTAAGAATTTGAACATTCTTATTCGAGAAAGAAAAAAACCTTTCCTTAATGTTACCCTTGGGAAACTTGCAATGTTCCAGGTTAATTATTATCATTTCAAGACTCCTCATCATGATAAAGAGCACACAATATGCTTAGAAAACACAGTGTGACTAAAGTTCAACTTTTTGCTTCCTGCTCTAGTAACTCAATAAGGGTTTACCAACCAGCCTTATATGGCCCAAGTTATTCTTCTGCAGAACAGGACTTCTCTCCTTATATGGTAAGGAAGGAAAAAACCCCAGTGACATTAAGGGGCACTCCCACAGCTCACAGACAAACATAACCTTCTGTGTTTTTGCCATACACCACATATTTTCACAGTGAGCAATGACATGGATAAGTTACCATCGGGTGTTAATTATTACTGTTGTAAAAGAGATGCTGTTTTCCAAAAGAAGGAAGAAAAATGCATTCTGAAAATGGGATTACCAACAGCCCCTTGAGATACATGCACTCAAAACGTAAGAGATTCTTTTTTAAGGCGATGGCTGCTAGTCACAGTCTTGAAACTTCTGACAATCTGGTTTAACAATCAAAAGCTGTGAGCTGTGATATCCCTTGGCCACAGCTGTAGCTTTTTCATTGTTTGCATATCTGTACCTTGTACAGGAAGAAAAAAAAAACAGCTAAAAAAACCAAAACAACCTTAGCTTGTCAAATGCGAGGCATTACACTAAGGGAAGGGTCAGATTCACACCTCAGCTTGCTTACTGCAATGTTCTCAAAGCCTCGCTCCTCAAGCATGCAGAAATAAGCTGCAACAATTAAAAAACCCTGTACACAGCACAGGTCTACATGCGCCTGCAAGTTCAGTTTTCTGCCTTTATTCATCCCAGCAATGACCCCTCCAAACAAAACCTTAAATACCATGTAATCATGCAGAATTCCACATCATCCACATAAACCAACTCCAGGAATGAGACAAACATTAATCTTTAGGATTCTAAGCCTTATAGCAATGTGGCTGAGCTCTAATGGGAAGACGTCACCAGCAAGCTGTAGTTGCTCTTCCAGCACTATTCCTTCTGCCAAAGAAAGTAACAGGGAAGGCTTCCCATTTTAATGGGAATCCATTGATATGTTGCTTAGAACAACACACGAAAGTAGGAAAACTGGTGTCCTTTACTCCACAAAGCTTTGAAAACAAGTACAGCCTTATTTAAAGATAGAAACCCTTATGAAACAAGTTAATGACTGTGACATGATCCCTCACTGAAAAAAATGATATGTGAAGTGATTTGCAAGAATGCAGTAGTTACACAAGCATAAGGAGCCATATTTTGCCCTTGGGAAGATCACCTGCAAGCAATCAGAAGGCTCCTCCATTGAACTCGCTGCCTAGAATGTGCAGAAAGCCTCATAGGGAAATTCTATAGTCACTTTTTTTCCTATTGTAATAAACCTCACGAATAAGAAATTTGTTCTTTTACATCACTTTTGTGCAACCACCGAAGACACTAAAACTGCTGCAAAGAACACTGTACATTTTATAGCAGGAAACATTAAGTCACAGCCTCTAGAATTCCTCAAAGTCAGTGGCAAGGCGAACAACAGCCCCATCAGTTTTTTGCTGTAGCTGCCACCCATAACTACATCTGATATGTGAATCTGTGCTGCTCACAACTGATCTTGTTTCTGCCTAAAACCATGCCTACTGTTCCTTAGCTAGAGGTTTTGACAAGCTACATGTACTACAGATGTATAGGGACCATACAATCACACTCTTGTGTTTTCACGTACTGTGGGTGAGCACTTAGACATGGCCATCTCAGGTTCAAACTCAAGTACATAACCTCTTTGCAATCGGCATACTGACTTCCCACAGTTGAACTTGTTTAGATAGGATAAGAAGACAACTAGCACTTAAAAAGTCCTAAAGGCTTGCTCAAAACCTAATACAAAGCACCCAACCTCAAACATCTCGTTTAAGTTCAACCTCATCCCAGCTCATTGTTGTGCCGCTGGCCAGCCGACCTAGTGCAGTCTACCCATGCACCGCAGCTTCGCCTGCCCCACGCTGGAGCTGAACCCCGGAGCACAGCGCTCCAGGCCGGAGGACCTGCTCCTCACCTGCGGCCCCAGGCCTGCCTGCCTGCCAGGAACAGCAG